TTTCTTTACCTCACCCTTTTCCTATCTTGTTCCTTAACCAGCCAAGCTCTATGCTATTAAAGAAGCATTCCTCATTGCTCTGATGACACACACAGTTAACCTTCATTTCCATTTCCTTGAAAGCTACTTACACAGGAATAATAGAAAAAGTACTTTAAAAAACACAGTGTGAATGGAGAAGAGTGTAGAGCACAATGCATAAGAATTTTGTATGCTAACTAAAATTTTAAAGTTAAGCTGATACTAAAATTTACCATTCAGACTGGGTCACATTGCAGGGTTAAAGAGGACACTATTAGGAACTGGCAAATGTAAACTTTTCCTTTGCATAGTCATCTGTTTAAACTCAACAAATAAGGGCTTAAGTTGACTTGTTTCATCAGCCCTTCACTGAAAATCTGCAGCATCTTCACCCTTTGTCTTTCAGTGTTCAGTCCCTAAACATCCTCCCTTTGCCCTATCTCTGCAGAACTCATTCTCTCCTTCCTCCTCCTCCTTCACTCTATTCCTCTATTCCCTCATCCTTATTTCCTCTTGCCTGGAAAATGGAATGATCTAACTGGTGTTCTTGCCTTTCCCCCTCATCTGTCATACAATATTCCTTATTACTGTAAAATAAAGAATAAAGTAAAATGGACTGCCCAGGGTCCACTGCTAACAAATACAATTATCATCCTGAAGGTTCATTTTAGAATCCAACATACTAGAAAACACAGTATAAAACAAACAAACTCAAAACGTAATCTTTACAATCTTACTTCCTTCGAGGACCAAATATTTTAGCTATCTTACTGTGTTTTCCTTCAAACATCTTTGGAATCGGTAGATCCCAGCCCTAGCATACATCAGAATCACCACTAGGATTTTATAAAAAGATATAAATATCTAAACTTATCTTCATATATTTCCATAGGTTCCCCACCTGTTTCCTTTCCAAAGCTGCTATCTGCTACTCTTTCTTTTTCCATGTTTCTTCATATCCTTCTTTCCCTAATTTTATCCCCTTCCTGAAGTCTTCCTTGATGTGTCCAAAGAGGTGTATTTGTTCCCTTGCTGTGTGTTTCACTATTAGTAACCTTTCACTAGTTGGTATGTGTATGCCATGCACCTTCTAGAAAATGCTTTTTTGAGGCAAAGCATCAATTATTTTACATATAGAAGACACACAGTAAAAATCACTGTTGTTAGGTGCCATCAAGTTGACTCCAAGTTCAAAAGCATGAAACCCTGCTCCCAAGTCTCAGGGGTGCTTAAGCCAGCTTGGCAAGTTTTCCCATTTAGGGTTTGTAGGGAACTCTGAAACTGTTAGGAAAGTGAATGATAAGCATGACTTTCTTACAAAAAAAATAATGAAACCCCAAAACCATATAATAATTACTAGATTATGCCAAATTAAAGTTTGCTCATAATGCTGTGTGGGAGAGTAGAATTTGAATTTAAAATGCCATTAGAGTTTTTCAAAGCAGTGAATGAGCTAATATTGAAGTGAATTTAGTGGTGGTTTGGTTCCTTCAATACCCTCACGTAAGGTGCTTTTATAGTATGTAACTCTCTTTGCATTTCTTATGGAAACTCGTGTGCCTTGTCACCATGAAATGTGCTTTAGTCAGAAGCTGTAGTTAGTAAAGCTGCGTTTTTTACTAGTTCCTCTGGCATGGGAGAATACTTTCAATAAATCGACCTCGCTGGAAGATAGAGTGCCAGTGTTCTTAATGGGGAATGAAGTGGAAGTGCAGTGATTTAATACAGTCACAAGTGGCTGCATCCAAAAACAGTTTTTGATTTTTGTCAAACCTTCAGCAAGGGAGTGATTCTTGCCCTTTTTTATGTTACTTCCCTAGTGATATTCTTGTTAAACTCGTAAGCTGTATACTCAGGATTGGATTTCCACCCCCCCCCCCCCGTTACCATTACAATTTTCTGTTTACATCTGATTTATAGTTTTGTTTCATCAGTAAAAACTGTGAACCTTTAGTTTGACATATTCAAATGTGCTTACAATTAATTTTAAGATCTTTAAGGTAGTGACGGGATTAGTCGGGATTGGTGACAAGGGATTTGGTTTGGGGATTTTTCTGGGAATTTTAACTGCCAACGTTTTAGCTAGCAGCTGAATACTTAACCACCGCACCACCAGTATACGCTTTCTCTCTCTCACACACACACATATATATATATATATATATATATATA